TATGAACACAACTGCAAAACACTTTTCACACAAATAAAGTCAGATCTAAACAACTGGAAAAATATCCATTGCTCTTGGGTAGGTCAAGTTAATATAATAAAAATAATGATTCTACCTAATTTGCTTATTCAGCACCATACCAATCAAAATATCAAAAATTATTTTATAGAGATAGAAAAGTAATAACAAAATTCATCTGGATGAACAAAAGGTCAAGAATATCAAGGGAATTAATGGGAAAAAATGTAAAGGAAGGTGGCCTAGCAGTACCAGATCTAACACTATATTATAAGACAGAAACTTTCAAATTTTTTTAGTACTGGCTAAGAAATAGAATGGTGGATCAATGGAATAGATTATGTACACAAAGCACAGTACTAAATGACTATAGTAATCTAATGTTTGATAAACCCAAAGACTCCAGCTTCTGGGATAAGAAGACACTATTTGACAAAAACTGCTGGGAAAACTGGAAAATAATATGGCACATACTAGGCATAGACCAACATCTCACACCATTTACCAAGATAAGGTCAAATGGGTACATGAATTAGACATAAAGGGTGATACCATAAGCAAATTAGGAGATCAAGGAATAGTTGATCTGTCTGATCTATGAAAAAGGGAAGAATGTATGACCAACCAAGAGATAGAGAATTTTATGAAATGCAAAATGGATAATTTTGATTACATTAAATTAAAAAGTTTTTGCACAAATAAAACCAATTCATCCAAGATTAGAAGGAAAACAGACAGATGGGAAACAATTTTTACAGCCAGTGTCTCTGATAAAGGACTCATTTCTAATATATATATATATATATTCAATTCAAATTTACAAGAATACAAGTCATTTCCCCTATTGATAAATGGTGAAAGGAAATGAACCAGAAGTTTTCAGAAGAAGAAATTAAAGGTATCTATAACCATATGAATAAATGTCTGAAATCACTATTGAAAAGAGAAATGCAAATTAAAACAACTCTGAAGTACCTCCTCACACCCATCAGATTGGCTAATATGACAAAAAAGGAAAATGATAAATGTTGCAGAAGATGTGGGAAAATTGGGACACTAATGCA